TATGTGGCTGGTGCCTTAGCCGCTTGAGCCACAGGCGCTGAGCCAGAAATAATTTTTAAATCCTATGGTTTTGAACATTTTATACATGATTATGAAGAAAATTCTTGTGTTCTGTAATCTTTTTTTTTTTGACAGAGTCTTACTCTGTTGCCCAGGCTAGAGTGTTGTGGCATCAGCCTAGCTCATAGCTTCCTGCCTTAGCCTCCTGAGTAGCTGAGTTTATAGGTCCCAGGTCCCGCCACAATGCCTGTCTAATTTTCCTGTTTTTGGTAGAGATGGAGTCTTGCTCTTGCTTAGGCTGGTCTTTTCCTGAGCTCAAGCGATCCTCCCACCTTTGAAGGTCTCCCAGAGTGCCAGGATTACAGGCATGAGCTGCTTCTCCTGGCCCCACATGTTCTGAATTCTTCACAACCTGAAAAATCTAGATATCTGTAGATGCCCCTTCTGTCTTTCTCCATATCACACAGTGTTCGAGACACTGAGAGTGCCTTGCTTTTTCCTTCAAAAGAGTTTCCCTCTTTCACATTCTCACACAGAGAACATTCTCGTTTATAGCTGCCTAGAATTAAATGTTGAGAGTATTTACAGAGCTGCTTCATTTTTGGGCAAAAGCTTCTTATCTACTAATTTCAGCTTCCTATCTACATGCAAAGATAATTCCTGGTACTTTCATGGTTCATTCAGGGCAATATAGGAGAGAAAATGGCTTCCACCAACTAACAGATTTATACATGTCACCATCATGTAGTTTTTTTTCTTTTATTCCTTATTTCTAAAACCATTTCCCAGATGCTTCACTGGGGCAATTATGCTTTCTTTACCTTGGATTATTTTCTTTGCCTATTCTTGTCTTCTTTTTGTAGGTATCTCTTACTTTATTGGTGTTTTTTTTTTTTTTTCCCTCTTTCATCCTTATTTTCTGAACCTGTCTCCTGGTTCCTCGTTCCCTGCATGCCACTAACTATTTTCATTAGATATTAATTGATTTGTGAATTCAGGCTGAATTGCATCATCAGCAGATGGCGGATCCAGACCTGTTGGAAGAGTCATCATCCCTGTTGGAGCCTAATGAGATGGGAAGAGGCGCGCCTTTAAGACTTGGGTAAGTCTCTCTTCAACCTTCCTATACTCAGTGAGTCATGTTCATCTTTGCTGTTCAAAAGAACAGTGAGGCCGGGGACTCACTTGCTACTGGGATACATCCTCTTCTGAGCCTATTGAGAGGTGGTCCTAAGTCCCTATGGATTCAGTTCCTGAGTTACTCTGTCAGCTTTCTGCTCGGTCCAGAAGTTAGATCAGGAATAAGACTCTGGCAGCCCTTCTTACATAACAACACCTAGTGTCATGTGTGTAGTCTTTGGTCTCCTTTCACTGCCATTCTGTGTCTTCATTTCTCCCATTCCATGATGTGAAATAGACTTCCCAATCTGCTTCTTCTCCCCACAGCTTCGTGGCTGGTGTGATTAACCGGGAGCGCATCCCTACTTTTGAGCGCATGCTTTGGCGAGTGTGCAGGGGGAATGTGTTTCTGCGACAGGCTGAAATCGAGAACCCTCTCGAGGATCCTGTGACTGTAAGACAAGGAGATTGCGTCTTGTGGAGTAGGTCTTGTAAAGGGAGCCCAGAGCAGTAACGCAGCGTGGGGCCACCTGAATCTGACCCTTCCACAGAAGATCCTTTATGTTTATTCCTGCTTTGATCTGAGAGTTTGCAGGACTGCTCCTTTCCACTAATTTAACTTCCATATGTACATATAAGATGTACAATGACACATATGTATTTTTAAGCCTTACCATATAGGTGCTATTTTGTTCAGTAATTTTTTACCCACTTATTTTAAATTTTACCTTTATTATTTTCTGTTACTGATCTGCGACCGAAAGAAAATTTTCCTTTTATGAAAATTACCTTTTTTCTTTTTTTTTTGAGACAGAGTCTCACTCTGTCATTGTGAGTAGAGTGGTGTGGCTCAGCACTAGAGAACTCAGCCTAGTTCACTCAGCAGCTTCAAACTCTTGGGCTCAAACAATCCTCTCACCTCAGCCTCCTGAGTGGCTGGGACTTTAGGCGTCTGCTACCACGCCCCAGCTAATTTTTTTTTTTTTTTTGGAAATAGAGTTTCACTATGTCACCCTCAGTAGAGTGCTGTAGCATCACAAGCCCAACTCTTGGGCTTAAGCGATTCTCTTGCCTCAGGCTCCTAAGTAGGTGGGACTTTAGGCACCTGCTACAACGCCTGGCTATTTTTTGTTGCAGTTGTCACTGTTGTCTAGCAGGCCTGGCAGGTTTTGAACCCGCCAGCCTCAGTGTACATGGCTGGTGCCATAACCACTGTGCTATGGGGCCAAGCCTAATTTTTATTTTTTCTATTTTTAGTAGAAATGAGGTCTCACTCTTGTTCAAGCTGGTCTCAAATTCCTGGTCAGGCTGGTCTCAAACTTCTTTTTTTTTTTTTGGCTGGGGCTGGGGGCCACCGTGGGGCCATGATGCCCTACCCTTTTGAGCCACAAGCGCCACCCTGGTCTCAAACTTCTGAACTTCTGAGGCTCAAACAATCCACCTGCTTCAGCCTCCCAAAGTGCTAGGTTTACAGGTGTGAGCCACCATGCCCAGTCTGTGAAAATTAACTTAAAACAAGCATCTGATTCCAAATTTGGTAATAACCATGTATGAAAAGAGAAGGTGAGGTTTCCTAAACTGTGATCTTTATAAGCTAATGAAATTTTACTTGGTAAGGATTTTTTTATCTACTTATTTGTTGGGAGAATTAAATTTAGTTTAAGAATATATATTGCACAAGATAGGAAGATCTTTCCCACTCAGTGCTTTGGAAAGTAGGACCAGCTGAACATCTTGGTATTTGACTTAATGAGATAGAATTTATAACCTAAACCTGCATGGGTCTGCTAAGTCCTGATTTCAGGAATGATAAGTAAAGATTAAATGTACTGTAGAAATTTTACTTTACTTTTGTACTAATACTGTTTAGAAACCTGGAGTTAGATTTTCTATTCTAAATATTTTGTGAATTTCTTAAATTAGTATTCTTTACCTAAGAAGAGGGATTGAATTATGATATTTCTTAGATTGGGTGGGTCATATAGCTGTGTGGCTTTTATCCTCCATGCTGAGTAAAAGTATAATGACACTTAAGGTGAATCCTTCAATTTTTTTTTTAAGTTTTATAATCTTACTTGAAGGTTGTCTCAGGTTGTAAAAACATTGTAATCTGCAGTCACACCCAATGTGGAGCTGTTCTCAGGAATATTCAGTCAAATTTCCTCTTGGCAAAAGAAAGATTATTTTATCAACAAATCGAGGAAAAGGGGCCCTCGATATCTATATCAGAGCAGCTGCTGCAAGAATGGGCCCTAGTTTAGCTCAGAGAATTTAGAGTTTTAGACTTTGGAGTCTGATTTTTTTTTTTACTTCTCATCTCCTTTTACCTTTCTAAAGTTTTGTTTTCTTATTTTAAAAGCAATATATACTCTATACAAATATGAGAAAATACAGTCAACCATAGACAAGCCTGGTTAACACCTTTTATACCTTATTTATCAGTTCTTTCCTTCTAGTCCTAGCATTGTACTTCAGGTGTAAAATGGTTATTTGGAATGGATTTCCTTCCTCACTGCCCCATAAAGTCTAAATTAGCATGAATTATGAGAATCATGAGATTCTACTTAACATTCTTCCTAGCAACTCAGTTCCTTATAGTTGTCCAGCCTATTTTATAATGTGTGTGAATTTCAAAGCCCTGGAACAGAGAAATAGCTTCCTTCTCTTGTCTTCCGTCTATTCTTATGTCATTCAAGCAATATAAGATTTAAAGTTGAATTAGTCAATAAGGCTAAATGGTGCTAGGAGTAACACCATTAGCTTCTCTGAATAGCTCCTGGTTGAGTCAAAAAACAAATGGGGGAAGATTTTTATGGATTGGCAGATGTTCCTATAGTGAAGATTTTTGTGGCAGATGTTCTTATAGTGAACTTTAGGAAATGGAATGAGGGTGGTGGTTAAAGTACAGTGTTGTTCCTCTATCACCACAAAGTTAGATATGTAAGACCTTTTCATCCAGGTTTAGAAGTCTGAACTCTTGGTTTTTGATTCTGGGACCCAGGGTGACCACGTGCACAAGTCTGTGTTTATCATCTTCTTCCAAGGCGATCAGCTGAAAAACAGAGTCAAGAAAATCTGTGAAGGGTAAGAGGAACATGTCCCTCCACCAGGAGGGCATAGCTGTGCTGCTTAACTGTTGAGCTTTAGAATTCGGAATAGTGAAACACAAATTCTTTTTAAAAAAAATTTTTTTTATGTTACCAAACTAACAACCTTTATTCTCTCTTGATCATGTGCTTGCACATGCATGGCATGCTCGCATTCTCTCTCTCTCTCTCTCTCTCTCTCTTTTTTTCTTAAAGAGACAAGGTCTCACTTTATCACCCAGCCTGCCTGGAATACAGTGGTACAGTCGTAGTTCACTGCAGCTTCAAATTCCTAAACTCACAAATCTTTCTTAATCTACCTTGACGTAGTGACTATATTTTAATAATGTTAGGGCTAACAAGTAGAAAAAGCCTAAGTTCATTTTTAAAAGTACTATCAAGGGCGCAGTGCCTGTAGTTCAGTGGCTAGGGCATCAGCCACATACACTGGAGCTGGCAGGTTTGAATCCAGCCTGGGCCTGCCGAACAACAATGACAACTACAACCAAAAAATAGCCAGGCATTGTGATGGGTACCTGTAGTCCCAGCTACTTGGGAGGCTGAGGCAAGAGAATTGCTTAAGCCTGGAGTTTGAGGTTGCTGTGAGCTATGACGTTACAGCACTCTACCCAGGGTGACAGTTTGAGACTTTGTCTCAATTAAAAAAATAAAATAAAAGTACCATCAAAGCCACAATTTCCTTTTGTTGGGAACAAGTAATTTTAAGGGTTGTTGTTTTATAAATGCCACATTATTCTGGTACAATGGGTCCATATATGCAGCATAGTGCCCTATACACTGTGTCCCTAAATTTTCTGAAATTCTGCCATAGTGACTGAATTTTTTTCCATGACATTTTTCTCTAATAATGTATAATATAATTTGCTTTACTTTTGTGTGTGTGTGTGTGTTGTTTTTTTTAACTCGCAAGAGAATTGTGGAGCTATGGAGAATGTCAGCATAGTTCGAATGTTAGTACTCTATCTGCAGGTAACTTCACATAAATAATTAATGTTGCTTTAACACATAAGTCTGACCTAGTCCTGTTTTGGTCCTTCTAATAAATTAGGATTACTTTCTGAGATTATTTAAATTGGATATGTTAAGAAATTTTGATGTTCCTAAGGTCGTGTCTGTGCATTCCAGGTTCCGAGCTTCACTCTATCCCTGTCCTGAGACACCACAGGAGAGAAAGGAAATGGCTTCCGGTGTAAACACCAGGATTGATGATCTCCAAATGGTACACAGAGGGCTGGAGGGAATTTGTTTTTCTCAAATATAATAGATGACCATTCTTTCTTGAAACACTGACAGTGTATTAGGTACCTGTGGCAAACCAGGATACCATAAAAAGAAAAGTTTATGGGTAATATTTTTCTCTAGGAGCTGGGGAAAGTCTCGGGGAGTGACTGTTAAAAATAGCATTAGTTGTCCTCAAATAAGGCAGGAATGCTAAGCATCTGGAATTGTGGCTTAGAGTATTCAGTCCCCCTCCACCTTATGAGTCTGAGATACTTTTTATAAGTAAAAAAAAGGAAGTATGCTTAGTTAAATAAAAAACAAACAAATAAACAAATAATGCAGAAGTACATGTAAAGTCAGTTCTGCCCTCTCAGATACACATTGTGCCTGCTGAAGCAGCCGGTCTTAATAGCTTGGCATGTATCCTTCTGGTCACCTTTGATCTTAACCACACAGTCTGGCCAAAGAGCCCTGGAATAACTGTTGTACTGAAGAACAGATTGCATTAGGTTTTTTCCAAATTGTAGTATGTGTGGTTTACATGCCGTGGTTATCACAGGGTTCTAGGGAGGAGTCATGATTTACACATATGTGGGAGAAAAGGATAGCCAGTGGGGTTTTGTTCCCTTTTGAAAGATTGAATGTGATGATTGCCCCTTTGAAGCATTAATAAACATACTTCATCTCAAAGGCAGTTGTTTCCAGCAGTGGCAGAATTGTCAGAGGTACATTGTAGATCCCATTTCAACTCCCTTTCAACTTGTCTTTCCTACCAGCCCCACTGTGTATGACCCACCAAGTTGACCTATTGCCACTCCTTTGAGACACACTTATCCGTTTAACCATAGAGGGAGAGTTTTTTAGAACTGTTGGTGAGTGATAGGCTGTATTAGTACATTCTAGACTCTATTTTAGGCTTAGATTTAAAGGGGGTGTGCCATAGTCATTATAAATGACCAGAATTTGAATTTTTTTTTTTTTGAGACAGAGCCTCAAGCTGTCCCCCTGGGTAGAGTGCTGTGGCATAGCTCACAGCAACCGCCAACTCCTGGGCTCAAGTGAGTCTCCTGCCTCCGCCTCCCAAGTTGCTGGGACCACAGGCGCCCGCCACAACGCCTGGCTATTTTTTTTCGGTTGCAGCCATCATTGTTGTTTGGTGGGTCCAGGTTGGATTTGAACCCTCCACCTTAGGTGTATGTGGCTGACACCTTAGCCACTTGAGCCACAGGCGCCGAGCCCAGAATTTGAATTTTTTTAAAATCTAGCTATAGAAACTGAAACTTTAAAAAAGGATTGAAAATACCAAAAAGTGGGATGGGGAAAGAGAAAAGCAAGTAGAACATTGCTTGCAAGTTCATTTCACATCCTTCCAGAAGTTTTAGTAGTAATTGTGAAATAGTCAATACCTAGAAGGGGAGAAGATAGCTATCCTCAAGTGACATAAGTGTTTTCCTAGCATGTCATGGCTAAAAGCAAAAAAAAAAAACCAACCCTCTTTATAGACGTCACCTTCCTCTGCCCAAGACAATTTTTCAGGGAGTAGTTACTGCTTCCTGAACTAACTCAAAGAACCATCTATAGTGGAGACTCGCGTTTAACATGGTTAGCATGTGACTTTTTCATTTTCAAAGAGATATGGAGATTTAAGATAGATTCTCATATAGAAGTGTGAGTGGTGGGTTGCTTGGCCAGTTTCTTCCAATTGGAAGCAATAGGCTTAGCCTCTCTTCTGCTATTTAAGACCTTAAATATTTGGTAATAAGGCTTGGCGCCTGTGGCTCAAGTGGCTAAGGCACCAGCCACATACACTTGAGCTGGCAGGTTCAAATCCAGCCTGGGCCTGCCAAATAACAATGATGGCTGCAACCAAAAAATAGCTGGGCGTTGTGACGGGCTCCTGTAGTCCCAGCTACTTGGGAGGCGGAGGCAGGAGAGTCATTTGAGCTCAGGAGTTGGAGGTTGCAGTGAGCTGTGATGCCACAGCACTCTACCTAGGTTGACAGCTTGAGGCTCTATCTCAAAAAATAAAATAAGGCTTGGCGCCTGTGGCTCAAGCGGCTAAGGCGCCAGCCACATACACCTAAGGTGGTGGGTTCGAATCCCCAGCCCAGGCCCGCCAAACAACAATGACGGCTGCAACCAAAAAATGGCCAGGCATTGTGGCGGGCGCCTGTAGTCCCAGCTACTTGGGAGGCTGAGGCAGGAGACTCGCTTGAGCCCAGGAGTTGGAGGTTACTGTGAGCTGGGAGGCCATAGCACTCTACCCAGGGGACAGCTTGAGGCTCTGTCTCAAAAAAAACAAAACCCCCCCAGAAAGCTATGTCTCTTTGCCATTCCTTTCCTGAGAACTAAAAGTAGTGTTATATAAGGATCTTTTCTTGTTCCTTTCTCTTTCGAAAGGTTCTAAATCAAACAGAGGATCACCGCCAGCGGGTTCTGCAGGCAGCTGCCAAGAACATTCGTGTCTGGTTCATCAAGGTGCGGAAGATGAAGGCCATCTACCACACCCTGAATCTATGCAACATAGATGTGACCCAGAAGTGCCTGATTGCAGAGGTCTGGTGCCCTGTCACTGACCTTGACTCCATCCAGTTTGCACTCAGAAGGGGCACGGTGAGTCTTCAAAGCTAGCAGTGCACCTTGTGGCCAGGAAGAGATGTTTCTATCAGTACTAACATTAATTTCATTTTTATGGCATTCTTACTTTCAGAGTTCTTTAATGTATCTGTCTTGCACCTGACAGTATATTTCATACACCTAGAATAGCACAAAATACTATCCTTATTTTATGATGTGGAAACTGAAGTTCAGAAAGGTGAAATGATTTGATCGTATGATTCTTTAGGGTAACTCATGAGCAGATTAATTTGCTGACGCACTCTCTGTATGCAGCTATTTCTGTTTGGTAGTTAATTAGAACAACTGCTCTATCCAAGGAACTGCGGTAAGAGCCTGGAGGGGGACAGAGATACCCAAAACATGCCCTCAAGTATCTTACAGTTTACTTAGAAACTGCTGTTTCCACTTTTCTTGGAAAAAGCTTCAAGAAGGAAGGTGGCATTTGATCATGGTATTGAAGAGAAGAAAACAGTATGGACAAGGGCAGGAAGTACAGTGCAGCCATGCATGTGTGGCCAAGAACAGGATTGTAATGAGTTAGCTGAAAGGGAGTATCCCTCTGCATCAGGTAGATTGGAACCTAATCGTGAAAGATTTTAAAATTACAAGTTAGAAGGTTTAAATTTTATTCCACGCAGAGTTGAGAGGCATTGGAATATTCTTTTATGTTCTTTTATGTAAAGAACATGAAAGAATCATGAAAGAAGATGATTGAAATACTTTTTGTTGTTGCTGTTCTTGTTGCATTTGTCATTATTGTTTAGCTGTCCCAGGCCGGTTTTGAACCTGCCAGCCTCGGTGTATGTGGCTGGCTCTGTAACCATTGTGCTACAGGTACCAAGCGTGAAATACTTTTAAAAGCCTGGGTACGATGGCTCACTCCTGTAATCCTAGCACTCTGGGAGGCCAAGGTGGGAAGATACTTTGAGCTTGGGAGTTCAAAACCAGCCTAAGCAAGAGTGAGACCCCTTTCTACTAAAAATATTGAAATTAGCTGGGTGTTGTGGTGGGTACCTACAGTCCCAGCTCCTTGGGAGGCTGAAACCAGAGGATCATTTAAGCTCAGGTTGAGGGCTGAAACTGAAGAATCATTTAAGCCCAGGAGTTTGAGGTTGCTGTGAGCTAGGCTGATGTCACAGCACTTTAGCCTGGGCAAAAGAGTGAGACTCTGTCTCACAGAAAAAAAAAATGATAACAAGCAATTTTAAGAGTAATCTGAGAGACACGGTGCCCATAGCACAGGGGTTATGGTGCCAGCGACATATACCAAGGCTGGTGGGTTTGAACCGGCCTGGGCCACCTAAATAGCAATAACAGCTGCTGCAAAAAATAGCCGGGCATTGTGGCAGGTACCTGTAGTCCCAGCTACTTGGGAGGCTGAGGCAAGAGAATCACTTGAGCCCAACAGTTTGAGGTTGCTGTGAGCTGTGACACCATGGC